TTTGATGATAGCTATTCTGACAGGTGTAAGGTGATATCTCATTGTGGTTTTAATTTGTATTTCCTTGAGGATTAGTGAGCACATTTTCATGTGCCTACTGTCCATCTGTATGTCTTCTTTGGAAAAATGTCTACTCATTTGCCCACTTGTAATTGGATTATTTGGTTTTTGGTATAAATCATTTTTTAAACTTAGTATTCAAGATTCACTTTAAGGCATCATGGTTTGATGGAAAGAGCTCTAGTGTTATATCTCTGACAATTGCTAGCTTTGCAGTATTAGAAAAATTCTAATCCTCAATCTCCATATCATAAAGTAAAAATTAAAAAGTTTTGTAGGTTTATTGTAAGAAATAAAAGAGAGAATTACATAATGTGCCTAGCATTCTATACATGGAATTTATTCCTTCTTAGCACTATTTCAAATAGAATACAAAATGACAAGTCATAAAACATTGACTTACGTTCAGTTTCCCATGACTGGTTAGTTCACCATAAAACAATGTCAGGCCACAAAGTTTCTGGTGTCATTAACCTAATCTCTCCTTGATTGTGCCTTTATCATTAAAGACTTCTTTAGAGGCTTGAAAGTTTAGGCCGACCCTTACATATACCGTCTTCTAAGAGAGGGGCTGGTTCCATAAGGTATCCATTAGTTGCAGAGGCCAAATGCATTTATCTGTATGTTTCACTTTGACCAAATAATTCTTTGGTACTCTAAAAGTCAACTATGGATTGCATTTTATTCTTGGAAGAGCATAATTATAATGTCAGTTGGGCAAGAGTCTATTCCCTGCTACTAGCTTAGATAGGCAAGAGTTAACTACCTTTAAAATTAAATGGTATCCCTTTAAATTTAAAATGAATTAGGCCATGGTGGTTCCCTTGGCTTAAGGATAAATGGCATGGAAATTAAAGAAAATAGTTCTAATGTCATGAAACAGCAAAGGTCAGATAGGGTGAGATGATTACTCTCATCATTATTAACATTACTTTGCATTTAGATAGCTCCTCTCCTTTGCCAGACTCATTCTCATTCTAGCCCATTGCTTAGTATCTGAGCAGCTTGTGGAGCTCCTAATGACATCAAGGGTGATCCTGATGTGGAAGAGAAGCCACAGGTCAAGAGGGGAGTGAGCAATTAACCTTCAGGCTTTATTTGCTCACTCTGGTCTTTTGCACACAACCTGCAAAAATGGGCTTACTTGAAAAGACTACCCATATAAACTTAAAGCCTCTCATGGAACTTTTGATTTATCTGAATTTTAGGGTTTTTTTAATATAAATTTTAAATTGCAACAATGTGTGTGTGTGTATAAATTTGGAAAGTTTGGATATTTTTTGTCTAAGCCCAAAAGTACTAAAAGTGCTAACATGCGTAAGGACAAATACAAATTAAAAATAAGAGGTTTAATTCTCCCTGTTGAAAATAAAGGAAGAGACCATTTATATCAGAAAACTTGTAAGTACTTTCTCTTCTCCTTGAAATGTATATAAATCCTTTTGAAAATTAGATAGGACTTTTGTCAGCTTTATGATGCAGGGACGTCTTTCTCAAGGACTTGGGAACCATCTCTTAGAAATGTAAACATCAAGGAAAATAGTATCCTTATCTCACAGTCTGGGGAGGGTAGGAGCCTCACTTCCGTGGGAGCCTTGCTCCAAATCACAAAAGTACCTCCTTTCATAAAGATATGAGAATTTTATCTTCCCTCTGGAGAAAGCTACTACACTAACACAGATGTTCACCTCAATTACCAGATAAATTCAGGACGAACTATACATGACAAATGGTGCTGTCAAGTCCTCTTACTTGAGAACTAATTATTATTTATTTTGAAAACATGTATGCAATGGGTTGCCTCTGCTTGACTATGTAAAAGAGTGAGATTCCGTTCTGTCTTTGCAAACTTTTAATGAATTTCCTGTGTTGAGCATCACATTCTGGTTTAATGCTTATTCAATGATAAATGTGTTCTCATTTCTACTATCTTTGTGGAAAGAATTTTTGGGTTGGGAGAAGATTTTGTTTTTAGTTATATTTCCCCAAACATGACTGTGCTTTTAACTGCAATAATGGATTCAAGAAAGCAATAGAATACCGTCAGCTGTTCTCAATCATAATGCATATGAGACTCATCTGCAGGATTTAAAATACAAATTCCCAGCACCATATTCAGAGATTCTGACACTACATATCTGGGGGAAAGCAGTGAAGTCCACACTGAACGACTATCTCAGGTGATTTTGACGCTGATGGTCAGTGGGCACCATTGTAAATGGAAGTTTTAACATAATTTTTAAATTTTACCATATGAAAAATACTTCCTTTTGCTGTCCTAGTCACTCCTTGGCTTATTTACAGGTTTTATTTACCTTTACAAGTATAATACATCATCAGCCAGTTCCTCTCTGCCGAGCAATCTTCTTACATTCTGGCCTTCTCTTTTATCCATAACAGGGTAAGACTTGACTACCCTTCCCAGGCCCCAGCCAGGCCTCTGCCCCTCACTCTCTGAGGGCCTCTGCCTTCCACTTCAACCACGAAGATGAACATAATTAGCATCTCTCAACTTCTCTGCCTTTGTCTTTTATTTCTCTTCTCTCCTAAATCAAACAAACAGCTGCCACTTTTCCAAGGTTAACTCCTCCACCTGTACCTTTGATCTCTTCCATATTTTCTTTCTTCATTACATCAATTATTTCTTTGTTAGTATTCCTAGTCTCTGAATACTTTCCCTTTGCTCATGTAGACTCAGGTGTCTCTAGTCCTCTAATCTAACAATCTCCTTTCTCATTTAAACTGCTGGCTCAGTTTACTCCTCCCTTTCTTTCACCACCAGGTTATTTAAATAGTAGTCTATTTCCACAACTTTCCTTTTCCTACCCCTCATTCATTGCTCACTCACTGCACAGGGATTCAACCCTCACACAGCTATTTTTGGTTTCAACCTCTCTCCTCGGACCCAGGTCCATATTTCCTACTTCTGAGTAGAGGCTGCCACTCTACTCTCTAAGAGCACTTCAAAGTCATTATTTTCGAACCCAAACTTCCTTTCTAAAACATGCAAATGCCCTATACTTTTGCCGTCAGTTAACAGTATCGACATCCAGTTATCTAAGTTCAAAACAGCCTCTAGCCTTCTCTTTCTCTCACTTCCCAAGTCAAATCAGTTCTCAAGTTCTGGGGAGTCCACCACAAAATACTGCATCTCTTAATAACTGACTCCTTCTACTGCTCCCATTGTCACTGCCTTTGTGACATTTCTCTCTGCCTCTAGTCTCTTCTAACTTGATTCTGTCCTTCATACTTTCCCCAGCGTCTGCTTTCTGAAACAAAATGTGACCACATCAAATCCTTAAAAAGGTATGTTTAAAAAGATGCAATGGCTCTTCATTGCTTACAAAATGAAGACAAAACACTTTTATTACACAAATAATACAAAAAGTATCCTTGCCAAAACAATTGAACCTGAATTTATTCAAACCTCTAGCTCTCATTAGTTGACAGGTTATACAGGAAAAGAGAAGCATGTTAAATGACACATAAGAGTTACAGTCAACCAAATCCAGAGTGTTGGAATTCTAAGAAACAAATCACCAAATTATTTAAAGAGATAAATGGCATTTTAGAAAAGCAAGGGACTTCTATAAATTAAGACAGACTTAAGAAACACGTCAACAAATGCACCATGTGGATTTAGAGGCAAATTGGCTGAGTATAAGATGATATTGAGTAATTATTGTTAAATTTATTAGATATACAAGTGTAATGACTTTTTTAAGTTCTTTTCACTTATATATATAATGAAACATGAATAATGAATTTATTTTTAAATATTTCAGAGATGGAGGTAGTAAGAAGGAGAGATAAACAAAATTTATAAATGTTGACAACTGATGAAGCTGTATGATTACTATGAGTGCTTTTTTACTAATCTCTACTTTTGCATATGTTTGCAATTTTCCATAGTAAAAAAAAAAAAATCCTATCATTTGTGGTATTCAAAATCATTAAGAACCATGCCTTAACTTATCTTCGTAAACTTGTCTTTGGACATTCCCCATCCTGACCTCCTTATTTTACTAAACCTGTCAAGTACTTTCATACTAGGTCTGGGCTTATGAAGCCATTCCTACATACTCTTGTCTTTATTCGGGAGCAAGCCAGATTACCTCTCCTCAAATAAATTAGAAACTTCACATCAACTACCTAACTACCTACTGATTGCTCTATGCAGGTGCGTTGTTACTCTGGCATGCTCCAAACACAGGAGCATGTAAAACATTGCAGAAGGTATTTCAGTTTGCAATACATAAGTAGAAAAGTAGTTTCAGATCATCTAGTTCTTATTTTGTAACTATTGAACTGTGGTTCTATAACTTTAGCTGATATAAAAAGATGACTACTTAAGTGAAACCTTAAATTACCTCTAAAAAGTGCAGATTTTAGGAACCTGTGGGACACGTCCATCAATATGGTCAAAATCTCATGTCTGTCATAATATTGATGGGTTGCTATGAAATGCATTCTGAAGCTGGCGTGCGTACTTTGGTGGTGACCAACATTTCATTGAAATAGTATTTTTTTGAGTATTGCATAATATTTCACAGTCATTTTCTGAGTATTCTTCCTAAATAAATTTATCAGCATATAAGGGCAATTTTTAAAGTCTGAATTAATTTATGAGAAAAACATCCCTCAATTAGACAAATTTTGAATGACATTAGCCTCTCCCAATTTTATCAACCATTAGCCAATATTTTTCACATCTGTGAGCAGTGATTATAATAATATAAACTACAATGAACACTTTGTATGTTAATGTGGTTATAAGTTACAACTTCAGAAAAATGTCTTTTGTCATTTGCCATTTGTTAACATCCACTTAATATAGACAGATATCCCCCTCATTTTCCATATGTATTTAAATGATTTACTATTCAAACATAATCGCTCTTTCCAGATACAATTAGAGAAAAGATTGGGTTCAGACTTACCAGGAAATCTACTGTGGAGGTTGGTGTCACAGTTGTAGCCATTGAACTGAGCAGACCCTGGAAGCACTCTAATTGTTAGAAGCAAGAGCAACCATATCTGTTCCATTGCAAAACCTAGAAAAGAGTTACTTTTCATGTGGACATCACCAGCCTTCACTCTCACTTGCTGGGTAGACTGAGGCTGATCTCAACTCACTGTTGGATAGGCAGGCTGTCTACATCCATGCAGGCAAAGCTCATTAAAGACCTAAGGATTATCAGAAATAATTATCAACAATGAGGCAGAGATTTTGGCTACAATATTTCAAAATTATTTTTATTCTTTGACTCCAGTTTGCAAGCGTGACAAAGCTAGGCTTTTGTAGTAGAAGAACTAAGATATAAATCATAACATTTGCAAAAGAAAGATTTTTATTATAAATAGGAAGAACTCAAACCAAGTATTTAGCAGATTAGAACAGCCTAGCTAGGCAGACTGACTGATTTGGAGGCAACGCTACCCTTTAAAGTACCAATATCCATAGTCAGAGGGATTTAACATTCAAGAGTTGATTTTCAGAGAATTCTCAATTCTCTCAATGACCAAATAATGTCAAGAAAAATTTCCTCTCAACAAAGGAATTCCAGGGTACTACTACTTCTCAAAATCAATGGTTTGTATATCATTTTCCTAGGAAACACAGGAATAAAGCGAAAGGGAGAACAGAAAAATACTACGTGTAGAATGACATCCTGGTTTCTCCAATGGCTGCTCATTGGTGGTTGATAATTGATACAGAAGTATGAAAACCTTGAATTCTTAGGAGAGTGTAATGGAAATTGTCAATGTGTGTTGAACAAATAAATATAAATTGACTTTAATACTTAAACTCCAGTCAGTCTGGTATTTAATTTTTTTTCCTTTATGGCCTTTTATTGTCCTGATAAAGTTAAAATATCTTCCAGAAGTGCCCAACTTATTCTCAGAGCATAGTTTGTGCACTGGAAAAAAATCTTTTGGGTTGGTGGTTTTGGTCTATGTATAAAAAACAAAAAGAAAATAAAACTGCAAATGGCTTATTCAAATAATTTATTGCATTTTTAAAGCTTTGGGCTTGGGGAAAAAAAAGATGTTTTAGCTGTCCTTAAAGATCTGCCCTTAGATGATCAATCAAGTCTTTAGCAAAAGGAAGGAAATACATCTTGCTTTTGAATCGTCATTTTAGTAGAACATGTTTATGGTGAACAAAGTCACTTTGGTGAGGATGTGGGAAAGGAAAGCATGAGTTTACTCCCCAAAATAGACACAAAAACTATTAATTAAACAGGAGCTTCCTTCCTTACGCACTATAACATACCACTGAGGCACAAACCTAGTCACTTTAGGAAGAACAGCCACATGTCTGGTTAGTTCTGATCCGCTAGGACACTCCAGAAACAGAAGACTCACACAAATGGCTGACCCAGACCCTGGGGTCTCTTGGCCATGCCTATGACTTCAATGTCTAGCTCCTCAGGACACTCCAAATAGACGAAGACAGACTTGCTCTTTTGGAGTCTTTGGAAGACTTTTAGGAAAGACAGCAGCTTGTGTCTGAACGGTACATCCCATCACACACAGCAATGCAATGCCCCGCCGCTTCCTTCTCATGATGGGTCCCATTAACTCCTAGAAGGCACTGGAGACTCTAGACTCACACTGTTGTCTCTCAATCTAAAGAAGTCTCCCATCCCTACGGATTCAGAGTCAGGAATTTTCAAGAGTGAGTTATTTTTATTATTCAAAAAGGCTTTCTAGCTTTTATATTGTCTCACAGGAGAAAAATAATGCTTATTGAGTGGATGCTGTATACAAAGAAGGCAGTGTGTTGCCAGATCATTTACCTATAGTCTCTCATTCAAATCCTTATAAACACTGGATGATGCTGGAATCACCACTCCATGTATAGAAAAGGAAAAATAAGTCTCAGGATGCTAAAGTGACATGGAAAATAAGTGGAGGGACTAGAATTCAACTCCAGAACTTTCTGATAAGAGCTTGCTGCACAAGCTACCTAAATATCATCTGTTATTAAATAAATTTCATGTTATTTTGGTTGCCATTTATCATCAGTTGTTTTCTTTAGCTTTTAAAATCGTGTACCCTTTATTAGATCTTTTCATATAAAAATAAACAAATTCTTACATAGTGAATGCAATTTGTTTAATAGATGTATTGAATAATATGGGCATTGTGAGGAAGAAAATTATTTTTTAAAAAGGGAAAGGAGGTCCTGATTGTGGAAACAGTGAGAATTATTACTACAGACTAAACTGGACACATCTATGTTTAGCAAAAATGGTTAAGAAACACGTGCTACTTGAAATGGACCACTAATAGCAGTAGTAAAGTCTTTGCTTTACAACATTAGATCAGATCTGAGGTTGTCCAAAAGACATATCTCTACACTTTGAATAAGACTTAGAGCTCTGTCATAGAGATTAAAACTCTTAATAAATATTTTTTGACAAGAAGAAGGTAGAGGTAGAAGGCAGCTTGCTTTAATAGAAAATCCACTGATTTTGATGTCAGCAGATACAGATTCAAATTCCCCCTCAGGTGTTCTCTAGATTTAGCATTTGAAAACCAAGATGATGATCATAAGACTTTATAAACTACAAACACGTAAAGAACATGGCACAGTCTGGACATAAGGCACTCTCAATCCCATGGAGAGGGATGGTGACAGGGTCTGTGCTCCTTTGACTAAGCCACATGCTCTGGAGCTAGACTGCACAATACAAAGGTGTCCCATGGGCTAGTAACAGCCCTGATTAGTTGCATCACATTATTATATTTATAATGTTATTTGTATTGGTCTGTGTTTTAATATTATGGTACATTAAGCAGGGGAATTTTGAAGGACACCACAACTTTTGTATAGGCAGTATCCACATTCTGATCCCTATAACATTGGCAGTGCTCATGGCATTTTCAAGACTTTGGGAGTTAATGAACTATTTTCTTGTACACTCCCCATCCTCAATCCTATCTCCATCATTTGCTCTGTACATAGAAAACTTGACTATCAACTCACAGTAGTAGCAAGCTTGGAGATGTTACTTGCCACAGTTTCTAGAATATTTTTCTGAAATGGGAGTGCTTGGGGTTTGGAGACTGTGTTGAGATTCTTTACACTCATTAAAGCATAATGTCTTGTTTGCTCAGACTCCCCAGCTCCTGGGCATGTGCAATTCTAGACATGTGTACTCCAGTCTCGATTTGGCTTAAAAATCTTAGTTGAGCTTCATGTCACAAGGTAGAACCCAGTGTCTGTGGTTTACCCTGGGATGACCTGAAATGCTTGCTGTCCCATTGTGGCTCCAGCAAACTCTGATTAGAGAACCTGAGCAGAAGCATTTCCCATCTTCTCCACCATCACTAAGTGCAGCATCCAATGACCCTACTTCGGTGCTTAACAGTGTTGTACAAGACTGTCTGACGTGGTCAATATTACAAAACATTAGTAACACATTCTTAGATAACAATGACCTTGAAGACATGTATCACAAGGTTTTTGTACATCTTTCTTAACTCAGTACCTCCATAAATTTAAATTGATTGCGATAGGGGAGGGAGAGGATTGTACGTATAACATTGAATTTTAAGGAATTCAGAAGTGTTGATTTTAAAGAGACACTTGCATCTCTTAAACTGGTATTGAGGCTCTGTGTTTTATACTTAGCAATACAAAGGAAGTCATATGCTGAGTGACTTGCTATCAAATGTCAATATTTCTCATATTAAGTTCTCGTTTTAAAATAACTTCTTCTAAAATATGAATTTCTAATTTATTTGCTTAAGATTGAACTTGGAGTCAGAAAAACATAATTTCACTTTTAATTCTCACTCAGTTTTATATAAATTGAGATAGTTCTGTCACACTGTTCTCTAGATTTTATACATTTAATAATCTTTTTTGACCCTCCTTTTATTAAGATCTGTTAAGTGCCAGATTCTGTGCTACATTTAATATTCAACTACTAACATAGATTTAATTTTCACCCACGTTACTAATGTGGAAACTGAAGTCAAGGTTTTTAATTGACTTGCCCAGGGTCACAGACCTAGTAAATGACAGAGAAGAATTCAAAACTAAGCTTGATCTTTGGAATTATTGTAATACTCTGTTCGACTTAATTGGAGTTTGTCAAATAAATCAAATTAATGTCTTGTTAATTTTCAGAAAGTAAATTATATTAATAATGATTCTTAAAATATGCTTTGAGCTAAGTGCTTCAGATGACTGAGGCAAAATATTTTTAATATCTACATACTTGTCATGACTTTATTTCACTTATTCAGAGTGCATAAAAATATTATTATTTTCACAAATTGATTTAATGATACTGCCAGTGACTGTTAAGGTCTGATTATGCACCAGAATGTTTTTTTAAGCACTTTTCTAACCATATTTTCTAAGTATATTTTCTAACCATGATACAGGTAAATTATTCTCCTTATTCTGAGATGAAAAAACTGAGGCACAGAAATGTTAGGGAATTTGCCCAAGGTTAAACAGATGACCAGTATGAGAATCAAGATTCAACGTACACACCATATGATCCAGAAATCCCACTCCTGGGCATATACCCAGAGCAAACCATAATTCAAAGAGATACATGCACCCCAGTGTTCATTGCAGCACCATGTACAATAGCCAGGTCATGGAAGCAACCTAAATGTCCATCAACAGAGGAATGGATAAAGAAGATGTGGTACATATATACAATGGAATATTACTCAGCCATAAGAAGGAACAAAATTGTGCCATTTGCAGAGACATGGATGGATCTAGAGACTGTCATACAGCATTAAGTCAGAAAGAGAAAAACAAATATTGTATATTAATACATATATGTGGAATCTAGAAAAATGCTACAGATGAACCTATTTGCAAAGCAGAAGTAGAGACACAGCCATGGAGAACAAGTGTATGGACACCAAGGGGGGAAAGGCGGGTGAATTGGGAGAGTGGAATTGACATATATACAATACTATGTATAAAATAAATAACTAATGAGAACCTACTGTATAGCACAGGGAACTCTACTCAATGCTTTGTGGTGACCTAAATGGGAAGGAAATCCAAAAAAGAGGGGATATAAGTATACATATAGCTGATTCACTTTGCAGTACAGCAGAAACTAACACAACATTGTAAAGCAACTATACTCCAATAAAAATTTTAAAAAAAGATTCAACGCACAATGACTCCAGAAACTACC